TATACATATATATATATATTTTTAATAATTATATTTTAGTTTTTATACAAATTATATAAATACATATATATATATATATATATATATATATATAAATAAAGAGAAAAGATCGCACATATACAGAATGAATACGTGATACTGTGTTAACACGAAAATTATGGGCGTAGCACGGACTCGCACCAAATACAAACTTTATCGACCCTGCCAGAAAATGGGTGTGCAGTTAGTTCCGATATTAAAAACGGGTGCGAGGGGCGCTTCAAGCAGTCCCGTAAAAACGGTAACAGCCAAAACGCCGGCCTGGCCGCTCTCATCTTTCTCTCTGATAGTACCTGTGGCGACAAAAGTAAGCCACGAGAGCGCACAGTCGTGAGGGCACTGCTCGGACAAGTACTACCGAGCGTCGCCGCTAGTAGCCGCATCGCGGGAGCGTTACCAGCAGTCAAAATACTCTCGCGCGGGAATATAAAGAGGTCCTCCTGCCAGTGTTACAAGACGTAGGGAAATTTCTGTATTGGTAAGGAAACTATATACATTTTGTATTAAATATGTAGAGTTTTGAAGTTGTATAAAAAATACTCTTTCTTGTGAATTTTATTCAAAATCTTTTCTAGCGAAGTTAGAAAACAAGATTTTACATCTTCTTAGAGGAGGATAATCTTTTAGGTTTTTGTTAAGGTTTATTTTGCATTTTTATTACTTATTGGCAATGAAAACATTTGTATATGCGCTTCTAGCAGATAGAAAACGTTTCTAATTGTCACTTCAGTAACTTGATTAAATAAAACTCTAAGTGCATTGAAAGATATGTCCAATTTTTAGCTTTGTAGTCACTACATGCTTTATCGAGTATATTTAATAAACATTTCTTCTTGCGGGGAAATACTTCATCCATTAATTGTATTAAGCTAGAAGCACAGACTTTTGCATAAAGCATAAGGGAATAAACCAATCAGAATTCTCTATTTTTAACCTCACTCCTTATTCTTGGCATAGCGCACAGCGCATGAAACATAAGGGGTCAAAAAATTCGTAAAGATGAATGAATTTCTTATGCCATATGCCATGGCTTATGCAAATGGACACAACCTTTTTCTCGTTTCACTTCAACAGTTCGATATGCACATAACCTTTTTAGCTGTTTCTTGCTTGAATAATTTTATTTAAAATATTATTGTAGGATATTGTTTTTATTAATTTTTAAATGTGACACTTTTAAATGTGTAATAATTTAGATTGTTACTTGATAAATAATTTTTATTAGGTCACGGTTATATAGAAGTTTTTATTAATAAAGTCTTGGTGCGTTCCCGAAAAAGTTCAAAGTAAATTTGATTTGAGCACGCAACAGCTTTGTGTTGATACCGAAAAGATATATTCAATGTGCCATATACTGATTCTCTGCCACAATCATTGGATAAAATAGATAGTCAAAAGCAAAAATTAGGAGTCATTGGAATAAGTGTGTCGTTAATTACTTTGGAACAAGTCTTTTTGTGCGCGACGGAAAGATGGATAGGACGTGGTCGGAAGCGAGACTGAAAAATAGACACAACACTCGACACACGCGTAACGTTCACAAAAAGAATATATTTATATAAACTTTTAACAAAAATTACAATTAATATACCGCACCGAATTTGCCGAAAGATAGCCGAGTCGAATGTATTAGAAATGAATGCAATAAACGAGAGAAAAGCCGGGTCGAAAATAAATTACTGACTGTTCCGCAAGCAACGGTAATTAGACGAGAAAACCGAAAAGACAAGCGATCTTTTTCGGAAAGTAGAAGCACACTCTATTCGCGACGAGCAATCGGAAAGAGACCCGCGGTCGCGAGAGAGGAGGCTTATATAGGCCTTGTAATTCTAGAATATTCGAGTACATTTGCTGTCGTTCTATTGTGATATTAAGGGCGAAGGAACGTTTACTGTAATTATTTACTTGTTTTCTCTCCTCTCGCGCGACAGCGGTGTTTACAATTTAGACTGTTTTAAGCGCTTATTTCGAAGGCGCGGAGTATCCGTATACTCTCGCGGCCGAGCGCTATTTTAAATATAATTTAAAATAAGTGTTTGAGATGTTAAGTAAAACTTTTGTAAATTCTAGAATTTTCCATCCGCGTCAATAACAAAAGTCACGGTCGTTTTGTATGTTTGTCACGGTAAAAAACCTGTCATAAATTAAACTTGTCATCTAAAAAACATTCTTTACACACAAACAATTAGCAGTTTCGCAACCGTTTTACCGGATACTTTTCGCGGTACAAGCATGCGCAAAATTGCCACGCGGCCTCGATCACCAATTAGAAATAGCGAGCGGCCGCGCGCGCATGGCAAAACGCGAGGTCGTTGCGCATCTTAAAAAAGCGGCCAATAATGAGCTGTGCCCTCGAGTCACCTCGAGCACAATTCAAATTGCTCGCAATAATTGGCGCTTTCCGAAAAAGTGGGTTTTCTTCGGAAACCCATAAGAGAGAGCTCGCGCCCGAAATCGGGGCCTTTATCGCTTTTCCGTCGTGAAAACATATCGCAAACCGCTTATCAAATACACCGCAAAAATTCGTTGACGACCGCCGCTACTTTGATTTCCGCACTTTGATTTTGATTCCGATTTCACTGTAAAATAATTAAAGTTTTGTAATAAGTTTGTTATAGTATTTTGTCAATACGTGTGTGATATTATTAAAGTCATTGTTTTACAAAAAGGTGACTCATCCTTTCGTGCAGCGCGATCCTTTCTCTCGCAGCGCGTTCGTGAACATATTTTTGGTCCTTCGAGCCGGATACATCGTGCCGGCATCCGCAAGTTTGTGAACGTGTCTCTTGGTGCGGTCAGTGAGCTCGTAGTTCGACATGGATGTGAACACCTTGATCGATTGCCAACGTGAGGTCCAAGTCCGTATTTCACGCTCCGTGGAATACTTGAAGAAGCTGGGCACGACCAACATCACCGCCAGTGCCGTATCCACACGCATCAGGATCCTAGATCAGCTGTGGACGAAATTTGAGGCCCAGCATGATCTCATTCGCGCGGCTCTGAAAGAGAAGTTTAGTGACAGCGAATACTTCAAGTCGGAGTTGCATGGAGATACTGAAAATCTTTACGTGGCACAACGCAGTATCCTGGATGGCTACGCTGAACATTTCCGGAAGCCAAACGTATCTCCATCCGTCGACGTCGCATCAAGGTCGTCGCTGCCGCGCATCAAGTTGCCGCCGTTTTCTGGCGCCTACGCTGATTGGCCGTCATTTCGTGATCTCTTCCTGTCCGTTGTGAGCAGCAATTCCATCTCAAACATCGAGCGTCTTCACCACCTCCGCTCGTGTTTGACAGGTCAGGCTGAAAAATTGATAAGATCACTACCTGTCACAAGTGACAATTACGATCGCGCTTGGGCAATCTTGAACAAGCATTACGACAACAAAAGAGAATTAATCCGCTCCAACTTTGCCACGTTTACCGCCGTGCCAAAGATGAAGGGAGATACCGCCGAGGAGCTGAGCCGCATCCACAACGCTGTCACCGCCGCCATCAATGCACAGGAGAGTATTGGACGTCCTATCAACTCGCACGGGATGGACCTGTTCAATCACCTGGTCATCGAATTGTTCGACGCCCGCACTCGTCTCGAATGGGAGTCAGCCACGTCAGACTCCACCGAACCACCACAGAACGAGGCACTTCTCGACTTTATTAGTCGACGGGTATTGACCCTCAACGCTGCACGACCGAGGAGTGTCACAAAAGGACCTGGAGAGGCATCGCGATTCGCCAAAGCGCACGTCACCAGACATCAAGGCACAGATTCGCCTCATTGTGCACTGTGTCGTGAAAAACATACACTGATGACCTGCAAGGAGTTCAAGGCCAAGACCGCGGTCGAACGGAAAACATTCGTGGAGACCAACCGACTGTGCTTCAACTGCCTGGGCAATCACTTCTTGTCACGGTGTCAATCGAAGAAGAATTGCCTCACTTGCAACGCACGACACCACACCATGCTGCACGGGGCATCCACATCATCACCGTCCGCTGAGGCCACTTCACTTGCCACCACACTGGCCACCTCACAGCAATGTGAGAGTCACAAGGCCGTCCTTCTTGCAACTGCCCGCGTCAAGGTCGCGGACCGCTACGGATCACCACACGAGGTTCGAGTCTTGATCGACCAGTGCTCCGAGGTGTCCATCATCTCTGAAGCGCTGGCTCAACGCCTTCGTCTTCCTCGAGCTTCAACGAATCTGTCCATCTTTGGCATCGGAGGGACTCGCTCTGGATCGGCTCGTGGCAAGGTCACCCTGGACATCACATCCGACGTGACCAACACCGAGCTTCGCGTGGTCGCCTTTGTGTTGCCTCGCATCTCACTACAACAAGGCACCGCTCAACGCGAGAATTGCAGCTGGCCTCACATCCAAGGACTCCGGTTGGCCGACCCGCGGTACCTGGATGACGACCCTGCGGAGCTACTTCTTGGTGCAGAGGTCTACTCGTTAATTCTTGAGGAAGGCCTTCGCAAGGGCGACTCACGCATGCCGATCGCCCAGCAGACCAGCTTGGGATGGATCCTGTCCGGAGGCTACGACTCAGCAGTCACCGACGGACATCGCCGCACGTTTCAGTGCACCGCCGACAACGACCTTGCTGACCTGGTGCGACGATTCTGGGAGCAGGAACGCGAGCCAGCAGCTGGGATCGTGCTCACCGCCGACGAAGCCAGATGCGAGGACCTCTATGTGCGCACAGTCACACGCACATCCAGTGGAAGATACGTGGTAAGGCTGCCATTTGCCTCACCGCCGACATCACTCAGCGAGACTCGTCGACCTGCAGAGCGCCTCCTGGAAGCGATGGAGCGGAAGGGAGCCCGTGATGCTCGGTTCGGTGATCTCTATCGAGACTTCATGGATGAATACGAAAACCTGCAACACATGGAGAAGGTTAGTACGTTTACGACAGGTTCTGGTCCCAGGTGCTACTTACCGCATCACGGGGTCCTCAAGGAGTCGAGCACGACCACGAAGCTCAGGGTTGTGTTCAACGGCTCCCAACGCACACGGTCCGGAGAGTCGCTGAACTCGCACCTCCTCACTGGAGCTAACCTCTTGCCAGCACTCGCTGACGTCTTACTCCGTTGGCGTTGGCATCGGTACGTTTTCGTCACGGACATCGAGAAAATGTACCGACAAATTCTTGTTCATCCGGAGGATTGTCGCCTGCAAACCATCCTGTGGCGCCACAACAGCTCAGACAACATCTGCGAGTACGAGTTGAAGACCGTGACCTACGGACTGGCGTGCGCACCCTTCCTCGCCATCAGGACGCTTCACCAACTTGCTGCAGACGAAGAGGCACGATATCCACGCGGAGTCAGGGCGCTGCGACAAGACTGTTACGTCGACGACGTGGTCACCGGTGCTGACAGCCTGGCGGATGCCATCAAACTCCAACAGGAACTACAGAGTCTCTGCATGGCGGGCGGGTTTCCTTTGCGAAAGTGGGCTGCCAACAACCAGCAGGTGCTCACCGGAATTCCGCCGGAACATCGGCTTCAACGCGGACCGCGCTCGTGGGAAGGAGAGAGCCACGCCACCCTGGGTCTTCGATGGCATCCTCAAGGGGATTGGTTCTCCTTCACCATACGTCCGCGTTCAACCACCGACCTCACGAAGAGACGAGTCTTGGCCGAGACAGCTCGACTATTCGATCCGATGGGCTGGCTAGCGCCTGTCGTCATCCGAGCCAAAATTCTGATCCAGTCTACGTGGCTTCAACGGCTGGATTGGGACTCTCCGCTGCCTGATCAGGACGCACACCGCTGGAGACAACTGCTGAATCAACTTCCGTTGCTGGATCACATCCGTGTGGATCGTTGGCTCAGCACCGGAGATGACCAGTCGCAACTGCAGCTCCATGGGTTTGCCGATGCATCGGAGCGAGGATACGCCGCCGTCGTATACATCCGCAACGCTGCAACAGAGAAGACATCAATTAATCTGCTGATGGCAAAATCGAAGGTCGCACCAGTCAAGCAGGTGTCGTTACCTCGATTGGAGCTTTGTGCCGCCGCATTACTCACCACGCTCATGTTGCATGTACGCACTACCCTCGGCTTGGCTGCTACGCCGGTGCACCTGTGGTCCGACTCCAAGGTCACTCTTCACTGGATTCGCGGACACTGCACCCGCTGGAAGACCTTTGTTGCCAACCGAGTGTCGCAGATCCAGACCCTGCTTCCAGACGCTCATTGGAGACACGTCGCCGGACGAGAAAACCCTGCAGATTGTGCATCGCGTGGTGTTACACCTGAGGACTTACGCAATCATAAACTGTGGTGGACAGGACCTACCTGGCTGTCAGGAGACGAGGCTGCCTGGCCTGGTGCAGACATCGACGTCCCAGAGGATGACCTCCCTGAGCAACGAGTCACCAGCCTGGTAGTCAAGGCGCCAGTCATTACCGAACCGGACCTTCTTCTGCGGTTCCCGACGCTGCAACGGCTGCTGCGAGTCACTGCGTGGTGTCGTCGATGGCTCAACCCGGTGAGACGTGACGCCAGACCTGGCTGTCCATTGCAGCCTGACGAGCTGGACTCCGCGCTGTTTCGATGGCTGCGAGTGGTGCAGGCGCTCCATTTTCCGACGGACGTAGCCGCGGCCTCTGCTGGACGCACTACTCCACCGCGAAGCCACCTGGTAAAGTTGAGTCCGTTCCTCGACGATCAAGGCGTACTGCGCGTCGGAGGACGTCTCAAAAACTCTCAACTTCCGCTCGACGAGAAACATCCGATGATCATCCCGGCGGCATCCTGGCTGACTCGGCTGGTGATCGATTCCTGCCATCGACGAACACTGCACGGGGGTGTGCAGCTGACACTCGGCCTGCTCCGCCTGCGCTTCTGGGTGCCTCGAGGAAGAACCGCCGTCAAGCAGCAGCTACATCGATGCGTTACCTGCACTCGATGGCGTGCTGCCACGCCACAGCCTCAGATGGGTAACCTTCCTCGGGACCGAGTAACGCCAACCCGACCGTTCCTCAGCACCGGCGTGGATTACGCAGGACCCATCCTCCTTCGGACCAGCAAGGGACGTGGACACCGTGCGCATAAAGGGTACATCGCAGTCTTCATCTGTTTCTGGTCGAAGGCCACTCACTTGGAGGTCGTCTCCGACTACACCTCCGAGGCTTTCATCGCCGCTCTGCACCGCTTCGTCTCCCGCAGGGGCCTCTGTGCTGAGATCTACAGCGACTGCGGCACGACATTCATCGGGGCAGATCGTACGCTGCGAGGTCTCTTTGATGCAGCGACAGCCGAAGGTCATCGTATCGTCCTTGCCGCCACCGCTCAAGGAATCCGCTGGCACTTCAACCCGCCAGCGGCCCCGCACTTTGGTGGTCTTTGGGAGGCTGCAGTGAAGTCGACCAAGTTCCACCTCCGTCGGGTGATCGGCGAGACCACCCTCACGTTCGAGGAGCTGAGCACACTCCTCGCCCAGATCGAAGCTTGTCTTAATTCTCGTCCATTGCAGGCACTCTCAGATGACCCAGAGGACGTCTCTGCGTTGACCCCCGGTCACTTCCTCGTCGGGGCGCCGCTACTTGCTGTGCCGGAACCGTCATTGACAGGGCAGACGGTACCCACCTTGTCACGCTGGCGTCATTTGCAGCAGATGAGGGATCACTTCTGGCAGCGATGGTCATCCGAATATTTGCACGGACTAGCCTCACGCACCAAATGGCTCAAGGGAGAAGCTGCACCCCACGTCGGTGACCTCTGTCTCGTGCGCTCCGAGCTCACCCCACCGAGCCGATGGCCACTGGCTCGCATATCGCGACTTCACCCCGGGGACGATGGGATTGTACGCGTGGTGTCAATCCGAACGGCCACGTCCGAGCTTGTGCGCCCACTCGTCAAGCTTGTTTTCCTCCCGGGCGTGAACGACGCACCTACACCGCACACTGACACTTCGTAACGTCACACAATCATCACTTCATGCATCATAGCATCTGTCGCACGTCACTCATCTCATCCACCACCGCACAAAAAGAAAAAAAATTATTTCGTTATCACCGCTCACTGCATTACACACTCGCCGTTCACATCAACCACGCGTTGTCACCGGATCAGCTGATTATTTCACACCACGCGTTTACCACGTGCTCTCATCGGCTCAGCTGATCGATTCACACCACGCGATCACCACGTGTATTTCGCCGCGCCGGCGCGCCCGCCCCACCATCGATCGCTATCGGAATGCGATCCGCGCCGGAACCACCACCAATCTTTGTCACGTTGCGACAAGGCGGGCGGGAATGTTTGAGATGTTAAGTAAAACTTTTGTAAATTCTAGAATTTTCCATCCGCGTCAATAACAAAAGTCACGGTCGTTTTGTATGTTTGTCACGGTAAAAAACCTGTCATAAATTAAACTTGTCATCTAAAAAACATTCTTTACACACAAACAATTAGCAGTTTCGCAACCGTTTTACCGGATACTTTTCGCGGTACAAGCATGCGCAAAATTGCCACGCGGCCTCGATCACCAATTAGAAATAGCGAGCGGCCGCGCGCGCATGGCAAAACGCGAGGTCGTTGCGCATCTTAAAAAAGCGGCCAATAATGAGCTGTGCCCTCGAGTCACCTCGAGCACAATTCAAATTGCTCGCAATAATTGGCGCTTTCCGAAAAAGTGGGTTTTCTTCGGAAACCCATAAGAGAGAGCTCGCGCCCGAAATCGGGGCTTTATCGCTTTTCCGTCGTGAAAACATATCGCAAACCGCTTATCAGATACACCGCAAAAATTCGTTGACGACCGCCGCTATTCCGCACTTTGATTTTGATTCCGATTTCACTGTAAAATAATTAAAGTTTTGTAATAAGTTTGTTATAGTATTTTGTCAATACGTGTGTGATATTATTAAAGTCCTTGTTTTACAAAAAAGTGACTCATCCTTTCGTGCAGCGCGATCCTTTGCTCAAGCAGCGCGTTCGTGAACAATAAGCATGTGAGACCACGATATTAATTAATAAATTATATGCATGCTGCATGAGGCATGATCGAGATGCATGAATATTTTAACGCTTTCTTGTCCGCGGGTTATTACCGTTCGAATCTCGAACATTCCGCCCGCCTTGCAGTAATATACCTGCAATCGTGTTCTCAGCGCGAGAGTGGGGCACGAGCCTATTCACGCGCTCGTGCGTGACGGACACGTGGAGCGCACGTGCTCCGATTAATTTAGAGAACGGAATGCTGAATCGATCAGCTGTTTATACTGGGAGTCAGTATAGACGCGTATAGGTTAAGCGTCGCGTAGACCGTATGCTGGCGATGTGCAAGTGACTGTGAGTGTGAAGTACAATTGTGAGGAGAATAATGAAAATTTAGTGAAAAAAAATAAATGAATGTGAATATGGAATAGAGAAAAGTGTAAATTTTTTAAACTAATCGCGGACGACGCGTGATTGCGATTCGAGTGAGTCTTCGGTGCCGTCGGTCAGAAAGATTAACTTGTTTACGGGACGCGTCAAATTTGTGGTCGAGGTGCGGACGTCGACTACGCGAACGTTACCGTCGGAACCTGGATGCAGTTGTGTAATGCGCGCAAGCGGCCACCGTGTTGGTGGTGTTATTTCGTTTCGCACGAGGCAGATTCGACCGACGCGAGCCTCCTGATTAATTCGGGACCATTTCGGCCGATGGGCCAGCGTGTGTAAGTATTCGCTGACCCACCGAGACCAGAAATGGTCCTTCATGTTTTGCAGGAGCTGCCACCGTGAGAGACGTGCCGACGGCTCTCGTTCGAGCGACGGTTCGGGGATCGCCGAGAGAGCGGAGCCGACCAGGAAGTGACCAGGTGTGAGTGCGGCTACATCCTCCGGATCGTCAGACAACGGCTGCAGCGGTCTGGAATTGAGGCAGGCCTCAATTTGGGCTAGGAGAGTAGTCATCTCCTCGTAGGTGAGGGTGGCGTCACCGATGACTCGCCGAAGGTGGTACTTCATCGCTTTCACGGCAGCTTCCCATAAACCGCCGAAGTTAGGTGCAGCCGGCGGGTTGAACCGCCACCGGATTCTTTCCTGGGCGGCGAAGGTTGCGATGCGATGTCCGTCGGCACTGGCGGCGGAGAATAGTTGCCTAAGCTGCTTATCGGCACCCACGAAGTTGGTGCCGCAGTCGCTATATAGCGAGTGGCAGACTCCTCGCCTGGCGACGAACCGACGCAAGGCGGCAAGGAAGGCGTCAGCGGTGTAGTCCGAGGCGGCGTCGAGGTGGACTGCTCGGGAAGCTAAACAAATAAAGACAACAATAAAACCTTTTGTCGCCTTGAGTCCGCGGCCCCCTGCAGTTCGCATCCAAATCGGTCCAGCGTAGTCTACGCCGGTATGCAGAAACGGCCGGCCTGGAGTAACTCGTGGTGCCGGGAGGTCCCCCATCAGTGGCTGAGGGATGGCAGCTCGCCATCTGGTGCACCTTAGACACCGGCTGATGCGGCTCTTCACTAGAGCGCGACCTCGAGGGACCCAATACTCCTGGCGAAGAAAGCACAAGGTCAACTGGGTGCCGCCGTGCAGCGTCCGCTTGTGTCGTCGATGATGAGGCAAGTAAAATTAGATCTGCTTGGGAGTATGGTTGGATGCGTGGCATCATACTGTAGAGCAGCGTGTTTAAGGCGCCCGCCGACGCGTAGGAGTCCCTCACTGTCCAGAAAAGGACTTAGCTTCAGTAGGGAGCTTCGAGTCGGCAGCGGCTTTCCATTCTTTAGGTGTCTCAGTTCTTCTTTGTATGTTTCAGCCTGGATGATTTTTAACCAGGAGATCCGGGAGTCCTCGATCTCGTCGGCGCTGATCAAGCCGGGCTGGCCATGCTCGAGGTGGTCCTGACGATGGATCCGCAGCCAGCGACGGCACCACGCAGTGATCCGGAGCAGGCGTTGTAGCGACGAGTATCTAAGAAGCATCTCCGGCTCAGTCCTTTGTTCGGCGATGGCGGCGACGTGGGCGCGGACGCGCCTCTCTGGGAGGTCATCCTCTGGTGGCTCCTCGCTGTTGATCGTCCACGGTTGGCTCTCGGAGGACAGCCACGACGGACCTTGCCACCATAGTGAATGGTCCACAAGCTCGCTGGGGTAGAGTCCTCGTGACGCGCAGTCCGCGGGATTCTCTCGGCCGGGGACGTGGTGCCAGTGGGCGTCCGGAGTCAGCGTCTGGATCTCACTCACCCGATTAGCGACGTAAGTGACCCAGGACGAAGGGTGGACCCGGATCCAGCCGAGAGTCACGGTGGAATCCGACCACAGATGGAGAGGCGCCTTTTCTGCGCCAATAAGAGGCACGACGTGGGCGACCAATCGAGCTAGAAGAGTGGCGGCAGCTAACTCTAACCTCGGTAATGAGATCTGTTTCAAAGGAGCTACCTTGGTCTTCGCAGCTAATAAAGTCACTCTCCTAACTCCGTTTGTGTTTGTTCGCAGGTAGATGACTGCGGCGTAGGCACGTTCGGAGGTATCGGCAAATCCGTGAACCTCTTGATGGGAGTCAGCTAGGGCTCCTAACCAACGAGGCACGACTAGTTTCTCCAATGCCGCTAGCTCCTCCTGGAATCGCAGCCATTTTCTGGCTTCCTCGCTTGGCAGAGACGCGTCCCAGTCGAGACCTAGTAGCCAGGTAGCCTGGATGTTGATTTTTGCCAGCACAGTCGTTGGAGACAGCCAGCCAAGTGGATCGAATAATTTGGCCGTCAAAGAAAGGATCGACCTTTTGGTGACCGCTGAGAGAGTGATCCGGTGGGTGGCGAAGGCGAAGCGGTCGTCGCACGGTTGCCATCGAAGGCCGAGAGTGGAATGACTCTCGCCGGGCAGCCACCATCTGGCCTCTTGTTGCAGGCGCGCGTCCGGTTCCACGAGGCTCAGCAGGTAGGAGGCGTTTGTAGACCACTTTTTTAGTGTGAACCCGCCCGCCGTGCATATATTTGTCAGCTGCCTCACCATAGATTCTGCTTCCTCTAGATTCTCGGCACCGGACAGGATGTCATCCATGTAGATATCGCTCCGCAGGATGTCGGCGCCTTTCGGAAAGCGATGCTCTTCGTCCTCGGCGAGTTGGCGTAAGGTACGGATGGCCAGATACGGGGCGCATGAGAGCCCGTAAGTGACCGTGCATAGCCAGAACTCCTGGACGTCGTTCTTAGAGTCGTCTCTCCACAGGATTCGCTGCAGGTTTCGATCGTCCGGATGCACTAGGATCTGCCGATACATCTTTTCGATATCGGCAGCGAAGACGTATCTGTGGCGTCGCCAACGCAGCAGGATGTCAGCCAGCGCAGGAAGCAGATTCGGTCCAGTCAGAAGATATTGGTTGAGAGAGTCCCCGTTCGGCAAAGAGCTCGAGCCGTTGAACACGACCCTCAGCTTAGTGGAAGTGCTGTCCGGACGCAGGACCCCGTGATGCGGCAGGTAACAGGTACCTCGTTGTGGCTCAGCTGGCGCTGGTGCAAGCATCATATGTCGCAGTTCCTTGTACTTTTGCATGAACTCTACGTACATGTCCTTAAAGTCGGCATCTTTCTCTAACCTTTTCTCCGTCTGTTGCAGAGCACGACTGGCGGCGCGACGAGTCCCAGACAGATCCGGGAGAGGCTCGATCGTTGGCAGCCGCACTATGTACCTGCCGTCAGGAGAGCGCGAGTGATGACGGCGGTAGTGCTCCTCGCACTCTAGTTCCGCCTTGGTGAGGGTCGGAGATGGCCGGTGGACTTCCTCCTGCTCCCAGAACCGCCGCACCAAGCAGGTGATGTCCTTCTCGATCTGGCAGTGATGAGCGGAGATGTGTTGGCTGGGCGCCGTCGAGCTAACGGTACCTGAGAGAATCCAGCCCAACGAGGTTTGTTGAGCTACTGGATCCTTAGGACCTCCTTTTCGTAGGCCCTGACGGATGATGGTCCCATATACGTCGGCTCCCAGTAGGATGTCGACGGGGTCCGAGGAGCAGAATTCCGGATCGGCGAGCTCCAGGTCCTCCAGATGGGTCCAGGTTCGTCTACTGCTGCGGCATCCTCCGGAAAACAGCGTCAACTTAGGCAGCACCAAAGCGTTGACGAAGGTGGGCGATTCCCCTCTGCGCGACTGCAGGGTAAGTCTCACCTTCCCCTTTGTCACTCCGGTCCTTTTCTCTCCGACTCCATAGACACTAACGGCGGCTGCTCTTCTAGGGAGTCGTAAGCGCTGCGCTAATCGCTCCGAAATGATGGAGGATTCGGAGCCCTGGTCGATCAGAGCGCGAGCGGACTTCCAGCTTCCGTGGCAGTCGAGGACGCGGACCCTAGCTGTAGCGAGCAGCACCGTTGCGGAGGAAGAGTCTGCGCCTTGAGCCACGTGAGACGTCGTGGCGGCCTCGGCTTCCCGGAATGCATCGTGAAGCGAGGAGTGATGTCGACTGCCGCACGCTGTACACGTCTTCTTCGAAGAGCACTCGGAAGATTGATGCCGGCCAAGGCAGTTTGAGCAGAGCTTATGCTCACGGACGAGCTGCTTACGCGCCATCGCCGTCTTATCCTTATAGTCGCCGCAGAACATAACAAAGTGGTCCCCCTGGCAGATGGAGCACCGGCTTCTGGACTTCTCTTTTGGATCTTGGCCTTTGACGTGGTGGCTCCTCGTTGATTTTGCAGTGCTGGAGCTGCTGCTGTCGTTCCTGGCCGGAAACAGCGCCTCCAACGTATGGAGCCGACGTTCTATGAAGGCCTCAAGCGAGGCGTAGCTTGGCGGACTCGTGGGTCGACTTATATCACTCTCCCATTCTCGCCTAGAGCGGCTGTCGAGGAGCTCTACGACGAGGTGGACGAAGAGATCCTCCGTGCGGTCTATCGGTCGGTCTATGCTCTTCAGGGAGCTGACAGTTGTTTTTACTCCATGGAAAAGCTTCCTCAATTCAGCGGCGGATTCGCTTTTCATCTTGGTCAACGCTAAGAAATTATTCAGATAATTACGAGTCAGCAATCTTTTGTTCTCGTAATAATCGCTTAGAGTTTTCCAGGCGATTTCATAGTTGTCTTTTGTGGTGCTGAGGTTACGAATCAGCAGATCGGCGTCACCCTTCACACAAAGTTTTAAGTAGTGTAACTTCTCCACAGGTTTTGCTGCCTGATTCCGGCCGATGAGGGATTGGAACAGATCCCGGAATGAAGACCAATCCTCGTATTTCCCGGCGAAGGTAGGCGGTTGGATTTTTGGCAGCGCTGTCCGAGGAGCGGGACTAGTTGTCGCGGCCGCGGTAGAGCTGGCTGCCTGTAGCTGCAGCTGGAGAACGCTCTTCAGATCGAGCATGAGGCCCTTGTTCAGCAGGTAAGCTTCCTCGCCTAAGGACGGGATGTCCTGTTTAGCGTAGACCTCATGCTTTATTTCGTCAACCCGATCGGCTAACGTATCATTAAGAGCGTCGAATTTATCCCATAGCTTCTCGAGATTTTGAAGCCGGGCCTCCACCGCGCCGAGGGTCATATTGGCCTCGCCGAGCTTCCGCAGGTTCTCGAACGCGCGCGAGATCTTGCCGTACAGCACCGTGGTGGTGGCAATGATCGCCTTCGTGTCTGTCATTTCTAACAATGTTTCTCTGTTCCAGAAGCACTGGTCACCGACAATCAATCACAATCGCTTCCGTGGCAACGGATTCACAGGAGGTTCCTGAGGAATCCGGCTCGAAGGACCAAAAATGTGCGCGACGGAAAGATGGATAGGACGTGGTCGGAAGCGAGACTGAAAAATAGACACAACACTCGACACACGCGTAACGTTCACAAAAAGAATATATTTATATAAACTTTTAACAAAAATTACAATTAATATACCGCACCGAATTTGCCGAAAGATAGCCGAGTCGAATGTATTAGAAATGAATGCAATAAACGAGAGAAAAGCCGGGTCGAAAATAAATTACTGACTGTTCCGCAAGCAACGGTAATTAGACGAGAAAACCGAAAAAGACAAGCGATCTTTTTCGGAAAGTAGAAGCACACTCTATTCGCGACGAGCAATCGGAAAGAGACCCGCGGTCGCGAGAGAGGAGGCTTATATAGGCCTTGTAATTCTAGAATATTCGAGTACATTTGCTGTCGTTCTATTGTGATATTAAGGGCGAAGGAACGTTTACTGTAATTATTTACTTGTTTTTCTCTCCTCTCGCGCGACAGCGGTGTTTACAATTTAGACTGTTTTAAGCGCTTATTTTCGAAGGCGCGGAGTATCCGTATACTTTCGCGGCCGAGCGCTATTTTAAATATAATTTAAAATAAGCATGTGAGACCACGATATTAATTAATAAATTATATGCATGCTGCATGAGGCATGATCGAGATGCATGAATATTTTAACGCTTTCTTGTCCGCGGGTTATTACCGTTCGAATCTCGAACACTTTTTAAAGTATGTTTTCTTAAACGTATTGTTGATCATTATTTTATTGCTACAGTTTTACATTTTGCTATTTTACTATTTAATTTAGAATTGTGAAGAAAGAAGATGTGTAGCGGGAGGCATACTAATGAATTTTATTTGCGATGCCATTAGGCAAATGCTGGAAGCGTTCTATGCACATAATCAATACTGGCATTACTTAGTAAAAAGTTTACATATATACAAGAAAGAATATAACTACTTTACTGATTGTATGTATATTTTTTAAATAGGTTTCTTTGAATCGAGTTTTGTTTTACAAATATATTGCACACATTATATTTTTTTACATACATTTACAATTCTCTCCGCATTATGTTCAAATGTGAATTTCTCATTACTTTTTAGCATTAATATTTTATTGACCATAGGTTTTCAGATAATTTTTTCTATCTTTTTAGTGCTTTTAATGGCCTTAAGTTACAACTTACCAAGCGACTCTACAGACATTATTCCATTGAATCTGGACACTAACCAGTTTCTTTCGTTTTACTTCAATATATGCATAATTTTTTAGCTGGCTTGCTTGAATATTTATTTCTCGCGTCGTAATTTTTGAAAACTATAAGTAACATAGAATTTTATTTTTAAAATTATTTTGTATATATTTATGCAAATAACGTGCAATTTTTAAAATTAATGCTTGTTCCGGAACCGTTGAAAATAATTGAGAGTCTCCGCGAAAAGTTAAATGTCGCGCGATCAAATATATTGAGAACCATTCAATCGTCGCATTAGCGAATCACGAATTTCCACGCGACCGAGGCATAGCGCGTAGCCGATCCTTCTCACACCTCTTTGTAATTCGCATTCGCGGTCCCTTTTCGCCAACTCAAGTGCGCGGTGTATCGATTAGGATCTGTCGCGCACCCCCGTTTATGCCTATCTGAGTCGCTAATATCCTTCCTCGTTTCCCGTTCCTTCTTCTTGTTCCGGCTCTCAGTGTATTAACACATTGCCTCGTTATTGGAAATTCGTATCACGCGTTGTTCACATAATCCTTCGAGTTACGAAAGGGATTCTTTTCCGCCGGTCATCGGCAAAATTTGTAGAATATTGTGCAAGCGATATTTTCCATTATTTCAGTTTTATTTGTGAAATACATGCATAGTTCGGCTGCAATTACGACCGCATGTATCACCACGTGCTCCGACATTACAGTGTTCCGGAGACTCTCAGAGACCTCGATCTCGCGAACGGTGCATCGCGCATCCGCGTTCGGCTCTTGATCGCTGCGATCTTTGTAAAAATTATCGCGAGAAGATTTCCGTCGAGTACGCGCTCAGCAATTACGATCAAGCACAAGATGTCCGTCCGTTCTCGTTAAAATTGATTGTCCACCGTTCGTCAAGTGTGTCTAATTCGAAATCGAAACTTTAGTTTTTTTTTGTGAAAGATCGAATAAACCTTTTTTAACCAAACTCTCAGCTGTTAACAATCAACCCCTTCTTCCCTCTATTCCCGATCAAAATTAATTTAATCAGTGCATTCCGCAACATTTCTGGTCCTTCGAGCCGGATCGGGACTGAGGTTTTTGCTTTTTTGACTGTTAACAGCTGTGTTTGTGCTACGCGTTCAGTAGTGAACTCGTTCGATTATCGCGTAGTGGTGCAATAAAAAAAACCTGTGTAAAATGGAATCCTTCGAAGAATTGATGCACGAACAGTCTACAAAAATGAGCTCAGTTATTCGTGCGATATCTAATTTTAAAAAGTTAGGTCAAGCCAAAATGACCTATGCAGTGACGAAAAATCGCATGGAAACATTAAAAGAAAAATTCGAACAGTGCTCAAAATTAGATGCCAAATTACACGCTTCCGCTGACTCCAAGGAGAAGACCACGCACCCCTACTTCTCAGATCACGAATTTGACGAGTGCGAAGAAGCCTACGAGACAGCGTTGGATTATTTCGCAGAGGTTGTACATGAACTCTCCAAATCATCAGCTCATCCTGCAGCTAACGTAAGTCATTTGCACGACTGTCAGTCTCATACGACACTCAACCTACCGAAGGTCACATTGCCGGTCTTCGATGGATCGTTCGACAAATGGGAGAGCTTCCGCGATCGTTTTCAATCGATGATTATAGAAGAAAAAAGCCTGTCTAACGTACAAAAATTGCATCATTTATTCTCGTGTCTAAAAGGCGAAGCGCTCACCGCGATCGAACATTTAACGATTACTTCTGATAATTTTGCTGTAGCGTGGACGATTCTTTCGTCCAATTTTGAAAACGAGCGTCGGCTAATCAATTCGTATATACATCGCTTATTTACATTGCCCAATGTCACGGCGAAATCGGCGACCGAACTTCGAGCTCTACAGAGCAAATTAACTGCCGCAATTGCCGCGTTAAAAAATTTGTCTCGTCCGGTCGAACACTGGAGCGATATTTTTGTTTATATTATCACACAAAGACTCGACAAATCCTCGCGCGAAGCGTGGGAATTGAAGTTAGGAAAAACAACCGTCTATCCTACGTTTGACGAAATTAGCGCGTTCTTGGATTCTCGTATTCGCGCTCTCGACGCCCTTGTACCGATCGCTTCGACACTCGATAAACAAAGCGATAAATCAAACGCGAAATTAAAACAAAGGGCTGTCACTTTGCATACAACAAGCGCCACGAAACTTTCGTGTCCCGTGTGCGAATCGAATCATTTGTTATATCAATGTACCGCGTTCCTCGGAAAAACGCCGACTCAGCGATACGAAATTATTCGTAACGGCAAGCGTTGCCTTAATTGTCTCAGTTCGAAGCATCAAGCAAAAGAATGCCCGAGTACCCGCTCGTGTAAAGAATGTCACAAAAGGCATCACACGCTTTTACATTTTTTTGACGCTCCGAAATCAGCTGTTCAAGCGTCATCGTCTCCCGCGTCAACAAATCCCGTCATCTCGACAAGTGACGTTTCCTCGCATATCGTTGCGAAAGCTGTAACAGCGCGTCACATTCTCCTTGCAACTGCTCGCGTTCGCGTGCATTCAATGCACGGTCGATTCCAATGGGCCCGAGCGCTCATCGATCAAGGATCTGTGTCATCCTTTATAACCGAAAATTTAGTGCAGTCATTAAGACTTCCGAAATTAAATACCGCTGTTAGGGTAACAGGTATCGGCGAAACGCAGACAAGCGTTCGACATGCCGTTCATCTAACGATAACTCCCAGCAACGCGGACACTCCGGTTTATAGAACCACCGCGTTAATTTTAAAATCGTTAACTCGATATTTGCCAAACCGTCTCGACATTCCAGAGCAATGGCCGCATTTGAATGGCCTTTCGTTAGCTGATCCCGATCCCGCAGGATCAGATCCAATAGAAATAATTATCGGAGCGGATCTTTTCGGGTCACTCATCCTCGACGGCGTTCGAAAAGGCGCGGTTGACGAACCGATCGCTCAAAATACCGCGCTAGGCTGGATCATATCCGGACCTATAGCGCAACTCAGACCGCTCTCGCAGTCGTCCATTGGAGTACATCATTGCTCTGTTACGGATGATCTCAATCAAACTCTCCGCCGATTTTGGGAAATCGAAGAAATTCCCGCTTCATCAAAATAACTAGTGAAGAAAAGGCATGCGACGACCATTTTAATTCGACACACTCTCGAAATTCTGAAGGTCGCTATATCGTCAGACTTCCATTTAAACACGGACCTCCACTCAACATTGGAGAATCTCGACATTCCGCGCTTCAGAGTTACCTTCGCACGGAAAGCCGCATTAAAACAGATTCATCGAAATCGTCGGAATATCATAATTTTTTAAAAGAATATTATGATCTGAGACACATGCAACGCGTCTCAGAAACCGAACAATTAATCGACTCGAATCAAATCGTATATATTCCGCACCATGCCGTATTCCGCGCTAACAGTTTAACAACGCGAATACGTATCGTTTTCAACGCTTCAAGTCGAACCTCAAACGGTACGTCATTGAATGATCATTTATATCCGGGCCCTAAACTTCAAAAGGACCTTGCTGCAGTGATTTTGCGTTGGCGCACATTTCGATACGTTTATTCCGCCGACGTGGCAAAAATGTATCGCCAAATTCAAGTCGATCCTCGCGATCGTGATTTCCAGCGCATCTTCTGGCGGCCATCTCCAACACATCAAGTTGAGGAGTATCGTCTCTGTACCGTAACGTACGGCATGACTTCAGCTCCGTACTTAGCTTTGAAGGTCATGAATCAACTCGCCATAGATGAAGGCGCTTCATTTCCATTAGCCACATCCGTTATCGATCGTCAAATGTACGTCGACGACTTTATCTTCGGCGCCGACGACAAGGTTCTCGCTCGTCAAACTCGCGAGCAGATTGTTTCTCTTCTCAAAAGAGGTGGATTCACGCTACGAAAATGGGCAAGCAACGTGTCCGAACTCCTTGACGAGATCGAAGATACCGACCACGGTCTCGCTCAAAGCCGAGATCTAAACGAAGATGAGAGCTTGAAAATTCTCGGTCTTACTTGGCAACCAGATCGCGACATCTTCAAATTTACCATTACGATTACAGGGCCTCCTGGCAACACCAAAAGAAGAATTTTATCCGACATCGCCAAATTCTTTGATCCACTTGGATGGGCAACTCCAGTGATTATTCGCGCCAAAATTTTGATGCAACGACTTTGGATCGCTAAATGTGATTGGGACGAAGTCGCTCCGCCGAATCTGCTTGAAGCCTGGCAGCAGTATCATACTCATCTTAAACAGCTAGAAGAGGTGATGATTCCACGTTGGATTCAACTCGGCCATCACGTACTGCATCTAGAGTTGCATGGATTCTCGGATGCATCTACCAAAGCATACGCTGCAGCGGTGTACATTCGCGTTGTCACGGTGGATGGAATGGTCTCGGTCAATCTTCTTGCCGCAAAATCAAAAGTCGCTCCTGTCAAAGTAATGAGTGTTCCGCGACTCGAGTTATCTGCAGCTCAATTACTCGCACGGCTCATTCATTTCATTCGCGAAGCTCTCGACTTTCGTGAGGTAAATGTTTATTGTTGGACCGATTCCACAATTACTCTTGCCTGGCTGAGCCGACCTTCTACTACATGGAAGACATTTATAGCGAATAGAGTAGCCGATATTCACACGCTACTTCCGGACATTCCATGGCGTCATGTCCCAACAAAGGAAAATCCTGCCGACTGCGCATCGCGCGGGATCTCTCCCGACGACCTTGCCACAAACCTTCAATGGTGGTCAGGTCCCGATTGGCTTATTAAATCTTCCGATTATTGGCCAAAATCTGACTCGGATTTCGATCCCCACGCGCTAAGCGAGCAACGCGCGCAACCACAATCGCTCACTACATCCGTTATCGCATCGTGGGACCTATCACAACGTTATTCGTCATGGCACAAACTCCTTCGAATAACTGCATACATCTATCGATTCGTAACGAATTCCCGCTCTCGACATATCAATCTCAATCTGAAGATACAAAACCCTAGAGCTCCGATCTACCTAAATCCGATTGAAATTAAGTCCGCTGAAATCTTTTGGATTCGTTACATTCAATCAGAATTGTTTCATAGCGAAATATCAGCACTCAGTACGGCAACTCCAATCAAGAAATCTAGCACACTGCTTTCATTAAATCCTTATCTCGATAATGATCAAATAATTCGAGTCGGTGGCAGGCTAAGGAACGCCACCTTACAAAGCGCCGTTCGCAATCCGATTGTCCTAAAGGACCATACCTTGGTCAGGATGATCATCATGGACACCCACCGACGAATGCTGCACGCTGGATCTCAATTAACATTAGCTCGGATTCGAGAGAAATTTTGGATTCTGCGAGCACGATCTCTGGTCCGCGCTGTACTCTACAAATGTGTATCATGTACACGAGAAAGGGCTCAGATTCCTACCGAGCTCATGGGCGATCTTCCGAATGTAAGAGTAAATCGCTCAGCTCGAGCATTCGAACATGCCGGTGTCGATTATGCCGGTCCAATTCTTATACGAACCTCTCGTGGACGAGGTCATAAAGCGCATAAAGCCTATATTGCCGTGTTCGTTTGTATGACGACAAAGGCGATCCATCTCGAGCTCGTTAGCGACTACTCGTCAGACGCTTTTCTCGCCACATTAAATCGTTTCGTTTCTCGTCGCGGATATCCTGCATCGATTTATTCGGATAATGGAACCACATTCCAAGGTGCCGATCGCGAACTTAAACTCGCAATCGCGCAGGCTTTAAAAAATTCGGATTTGCAAAATACGCTTTCGACCGACGGAATAAACTGGCATTTCGTGCCTCCTTCCGCTCCCCACTTCGGTGGATTATGGGAAGCTGCCGTACGCAGCGTCAAATACCATTTAAAGCGCTGTATCGGTTCACATACGCTCACATTTGAAGAATTAAATACCGTTCTTTGTCGTATCGAAGCGTGTCTTAACTCGAGACCTATTGGGTCTGTGTCCGAAAATCTCGATGATTATCATGTATTAACACCGGGACACTTCCTCATCGGAGGACCCATCTTAGCTGCGCCACAGCCAAGCGTTCTCGATCTTAACGAAACTCGTCTTTCCCGCTGGCAATTGTTGCAACATATTACAGAAAAATTTTGGAAATCATGGTCAAACGACTACTTATTAACGTTGCAGCAGCGGCCAAAATGGAAAATTGCGCAACGACTTGCGACTGTAGGCCGAATCGTTCTCTTGCGGAACGCACTTGCTCCTCCGTCTCACTGGGAGCTCGGACGTATCATCGAATGTCATCCCGGCAACGACGGACTCGTTCGCGTCGTTACCGTGCGCACCGCGCGTTCACAGTATAAGCGTCCAATTGTAAAATTATGTTTTCTTCCGATCGATATCAATACTTCAAGCGATCAAAGTTTCGCCATGGCGGGCGGCACCGATTCCGATTAGACTTAAGTAATAATGTTCAAAAATTATTGTACTGCACCATTTGTTGTAAAAAAAAAAAAAACTTTCCATATTCGTATTGTAAGCGTTCTAGTCATAAATTGTAAGCGTTATAGTCTTTACTTCGAATAAAATCATTCGAGACGGGCGGTATGTTCCGGAACCGTTGAAAATAATTGAGAGTCTCCGCGAAAAGTTAAATGTCGCGCGATCAAATATATTGAGAACCATTCAATCGTCGCATTAGCGAATCACGAATTTCCACGCGACCGAGGCATAGCGCGTAGCCGATCCTTCTCACACCTCTTTGTAATTCGCATTCGCGGTCCCTTTTCGCCAACTCAAGTGCGCGGTGTATCGATTAGGATCTGTCGCGCACCCCCGTTTATGCCTATCTGAGTCGCTAATATCCTTCCTCGTTTCCCGTTCCTTCTTCTTGTTCCGGCTCTCAGTGTATTAACACATTGCCTCGTTATTGGAAATTCGTATCACGCGTTGTTCACATAATCCTTCGAGTTACGAAAGGGATTCTTTTCCGCCGGTCATCGGCAAAATTTGTAGAATATTGTGCAAGCGATATTTTCCATTATTTCAGTTTTATTTGTGAAATACATGCATAGTTCGGCTGCAATTACGACCGCATGTATCACCACGTGCTCCGACATTACAGTGTTCCGGAGACTCTCAGAGACCTCGATCTCGCGAACGGTGCATCGCGCATCCGCGTTCGGCTCTTGATCGCTGCGATCTTTGTAAAAATTATCGCGAGAAGATTTCCGTCGAGTACGCGCTCAGCAATTACGATCAAGCACAAGATGTCCGTCCGTTCTCGTTAAAATTGATTGTCCACCGTTCGTCAAGTGTGTCTAATTCGAAATCGAAACTTTAGTTTTTTTTGTGAAAGATCGAATAAACCTTTTTTAACCAAACTCTCAGCTGTTAACAATCAACCCCTTCTTCCCTCTATTCCCGATCAAAATTAATTTAATCAGTGCATTCCGCAACAATGCTTGTTCGTATATTGTAAAAAGTACAATATGACAAATATGTGAAGTTATTTTTAAACTTATAGTTTTGTGTTTTTAGATATTTGAATGTTACATCAGTTTTCGTCAATATGGATGATGAGGATTTTCTCATCTCATGCATTCTGCAATTGTGTTTTCTGGCTTTGTTACAAAAAAAGGAACAAAGCAAGAGATGGTTGAATCGAAGATGGTGGGTGAGACCCATAAACGTAGCACGTCCAATATATGGGGACTTTGAACATCTCTTCCAGCAAATAAAATGATCCAGATATTTTTTTCCGATATGTGAGGATGAGAAAGGAAACTTTCATGTTACTGTTAGAGATGACAAAACCATTTCTAACAAAAATGAGCAAACGCGCATTCAGTCCCGAACAAAGATTAAGCTATAACTTTAAGGTATTTATTCCTCTTATTTTGTATTATTTAATTCAGACCACGTATTATTTTAATGTACTATCAGTATGAAAATTTATACACGTTATATATATGTTATATATATGTTAACGATAGATTTTTAGTACTAAGTGTATGTCGAAAGACGTCTTAACTCCAAGTCAGACTGCACGCAGCAAGCAGTAAGCATCGAAACAACAGCTAATACTGCTCGCCTAAAATCCAACAGTGTTGAATTTGGAGCAGCAAGCATCGAGCAGTATTGGCTGCTTCCGTTACTTGCTGTTTGCTGCGTGTAGTCTGAATTAGACTTAAAACCTATTTCATACTGAAAATCTATAGGTAACATTACATATATAACATATATAAATTTTTATACTGATAGTATATTGAAATAATACTGCTAAAATGAAAAAGTGAAATAAACTTTGTAAAGCAATATTATTTTTATTAGCATTTCATTCATTTATCAAACCTATTTTTTGCAGATATTTAGCTACTGGAAATCAGATTTTGTCCGTTGCATTGGCTTTTAGATGTGGAGAATCCACTGTCAGAAAAGTTTTCCATGAAACCTGCTCTGTCATATCAATGGTATTACAACCCATTTATCTTCGTTTACCAACGGAAGAAGAGTGGAAAAATATTTGTACAGGTTATATGGATAATTGGAATTTTCCCAATTGTGTTGGGTCATTTGATGGAAAGCACGTGCAGATACAAGCTCCGCCCAATTCGAGGACTTTCAATTATATTTTTCAATTATAAGAAAACCTTTAGTGTAGTGCTAATGGCAGCATGTGACTACAAATATATGTTTACGCTAGTTGATATTGGATCATACGGTGGTAATAGTGATGGAGGGATTTTTACTTCTGAAATTCATATGGCTTTAGAAGAAGGAAGATTAAATCTTCCTACAGGGACTGCAAATCTTCCCGGAAGCAATATTAAAGGTTTGTTCTTTATTGCTACACTGAGTTCATACTGCACTGCACTGAACGGAACTAGTGCAAGCAGGACATGTTATTTGTGAGCAAGTATAAAGAACGCGTCAGTGTAATAATCAACATGGCGATGATCTTAAATGATTTATTTGATTCTTCTGATGATGAAAAAAATAATATGTTGTTTCCATTTCAACCTATTATGCGTAACGATGACGATGGTATGTATTTTATATGCAATATATTATTATATTATAAAAAAATTAATTTTTTTTTTAAATTAATTTAATCTAATGTAAACTAACCTAGTAAGTATAATTTTTTATTTGTAGATTTTTATGAGTTACACATGTTACATCCAATTTTCGGATTAGTGCAAAGAATTGAACATGTGAAAATAAACAATTATATCGAACATATTGTTCATAATTATAATAACGTTGATTTTATCATGCATTTTCGTTTGTCAAGAAGAGCAGCATATCAATTAATAGACCAATTTACAGTGTCGGAAATATTTACTTCTATACAAGATGTGTATTTAACGAAATCTATTTAACTTTAGATATATGGTACACAGCAACAAAATAGTAAAAATAATACTTAAAAAATGAAAATAAAAATATTTTATTATTTTGTGTATTTTTTCAGAACGTGTACAAAATAATAAAATTAGCGCTGAAAAACATATTTTATGTTATTTATGGTTTGTGGGTCATCAAACAGGATCTTATCGAGATATAGCAGATAGATTCGGAATAACAATAAGTGCATTACATACAGTAATATCAAGAGTAACCGATTTTATTTTAGCTTTAGCGCCTAATATTATTAAATACCCAACTGATCTCGAAAAAGAACAAACTTCAAACTTTTATCTACAACAAAAACGATTTCCTAATATAATTGGTAAATATATAAGAGTATATTCTCACATTTTTAATAAAAATATTTTGCTTATTGAAATCTTCTCATTATTGAAATTTTTTTAAGTGCTATCGATGGTTCTCAAATAAGAATAGACAAACCTCTTGAAGATCCTGATTCCTATATAAATCGGAAACAATATTTTTCTATTCAAGTGCAAGGGACAGTTAATCATGACATGAAATTTATTGACGTATTTATTGGGTATCCAGGTTCCGTTCACGATGCAAGAGTTTTAAAAAATTTAACACTATATAATGATCTACATAATATTTGTGGAGGTAAATTGGAAAAAAATTGGTTTTATAATATAAATTAAATATATCAATATATATAAATATATCATACATTATATATATATATATATATATATATATAACAGTTTGAATCGGGTCGGATTATAGTGAGCACTCTTACAGTGGAAACACCAATAATAATTTTATAGGGTAGAGTTATTGGTGTTTTCACCGTAAAAATGCTCAACTATAACCCGACTGTGACTCTGACCCAATTCGAACTCTCGGTGGAAACATAGTCATATACATATATATATTACATACACAATACTATATATATTTATATATATATATATATATATATATATACAATGCTAAATTAATACCTAATCAAGACATCACATACCAATGCTCAAGCTCGTATGACAATAAAAACAATGATAAATTATTAAATTAAGGCCATGTGTAACGAGCAATACGATATTATTTTATTATTGAGAAGAAAATTCTTAATTTGAAATAATAATTATACAAACGTTTCGAGCTCTACTTGCTCCTCTTCAGTGCGCAAAAAAATAGTGATAATAAATAACGATAATAAATAAATACATAAAATTCTAATAAAAAATCCGCAATAAATAGTCAATATAAGTTATATAGTTGAGTCATAGTTAAAACGCAAAATATATTTACAATGAATTGAGACCATTAAAATAGTTCAACAAAGTAAGAACCCAATTAGAAGCAGAATGATTCGTCCGGTTATTCATAAAATATATTAGAATTATTAATAAAAACTTGGAGTGACACTTATACATTACTCCAAATGAACCACTTATCGTTATTTGACGGAAGTCCCTCGATCTGGCAATGATTATGTTCATCCTCTCCAAATTATTTGATATTTGTTAACTGAATTTAAAGAATTTATTCAATTGTAAAATAGGATTCCACTAATGTGTATGTGAAAAAAAGATTAAAAATTATAAATTAAACTAACTACTAAAATATTGAACCTTTATGCTTACAAATTGTTCCGAATAACTTGAGATGACAATGCTTCTAATTGTTGTTGGTCTTATTGTTAGTACTTGACTGTTGTCTAGTCTTTTAAAAAGTCGAATAAATAGGTGTCAGATCTCACAAAATAAACATTTACATAAGTCTAAAAATTCGATATTTCTTCTAGAATCTCGAAATACGCGTTGTAATAACATTTCTGAGACAATAGCATCGACAATAAAAAAATCAGATTTCAGAGTAGGATACCGTTGTCTAAATAATCTTAACAAATTAATTAAAGTCCACAAGGACAAAAACGTGCATAACAATAATAATAATGTTGTCTACAAAATTAATTGTAAGGATTGTGAAGCTTCGTATGTTGGGCAAACCAAAAGAAAATTACGCACTAGACTAAAAGAGCATATGAATAATATTAAATTTGATTCCTCCAAGCATTCTGTGGTCTCTGAACATATTATGGATAAAAAACATGCTTTTGATTGGGATAACGTTAAAATACTTGATATTGAATCTAATTATTATAAAAGACTTATCTCGGAAATGATACACATCAAGGAACAAAGGCATGGTATAAATAATAACACAGACACCGAATTGCTTAACAACGCGTATTTCGACATTCTAGAAGAAATATCGAATTTTTAGACTTATGTAAATGTTTATTTTGTGAGATCTGACACCTATTTATTCGACTTTTTAAAAGACTAGACAACAGTCAAGTACTAACAATAAGACCAACAACAATTAGAAGCATCGTCATCTCAAGTTATTCGGAACAATTTGTAAGCATAAAGGTTCAATATTTTAGTAGTTAGTTTAATTTATAATTTTTAATCTTTTTTTCACATACACATTAGTGGAATCCTATTTTACAATTGAATAAATTCTTTAAATTCAGTTAACAAATATCAAATAATTTGGAGAGGATGAACATAATCATTGCCAGATCGAGGGACTTTCGTCAAATAACGATAAGTGGTTCATTTGGAGTAATGTATAAGTGTCACTCCAAGTTTTTATTAATAATTCTAATATATTTTATGAATAACCGGACGAATCATTCTGCTTCTAATTGGGTTCTTACTTTGTTGAACTATTTTAATGGTCTCAATTCATTGTAAATATATTTTGCGTTTTAACTATGACTCAACTATATAACTTATATTGACTATGTATTGCGGATTTTTTATTAGAATTTTATGTATTTATTTATTATCGTTATTTATTATCACTATTTTTTTGCGCACTGAAGAGGAGCAAGTAGAGCTCGAAACGTTTGTATAATTATTATTTCAAATTAAGAATTTTCTTCTCAATAATAAAATAATATCGTATTGCTCGTTACACATGGCCTTAATTTAATAATTTATCATTGTATATATATACATATATAATAATAATTTTCAGATAATTATTACCTGTTGGGAGATAGTGCTTATCCCTGTTTGAAACAATTGATTGTTCCATATAAGGATAACGGACACTTGACACGTGCACAAAGATCATTCAACCAGAAACTAAGCTCATGCAGAGTTGTTATCGAAAATGCATTTGGCTGCCTCAAGCAAAGATTTCGTCAGTTATACCATTTTAAATTGCGAGATATACCATGAATGGTACGAGTTATACATGCATGTTGTGTATTACATAACATTGCGAATGTGCAAGACTTACACTATTTTGAACCACAGTTAAATGACGAATATCCAGATATTGAATTACAAAATAGACCTATTGTAATGATCGATAATGCAAGGGAATATAAGGATGATGTGAGAGGAACGCGTGTTCGTGACGAAATCTGTAATTTACTATCTCGATAAAAAAAAAATGTCAAATATTTTGTATTATAAATTTTTTATTTTGTAAAATAAAGATGTATTATATATTATGTATTAATAAGAATATGTATTATATATATTATAAATATATGTTATTATAATATGTCTTTATAATTTTTTATTTTATTATAAATTTTTTTATTTTGTTACAACATAAAAAAGTTATTTATTAAGCTAATATTTAAAACAAAACAAAAGAAACAGTATTGCATTAAATTGTGTAATAATACCAAAAACAAAACAAAAATAAACTATAAAATTTTAAGTCTTTAACATTTAGTTAGTTATTTAGTTTCTTTATCAAGAAAAGCTTTTAATAAATTATTTCTTTCTTCTCTCATTTTGTTTGCAATTATTAATTGCTCCTCTACTTTATCTAAATACTTTTCATATGATTGTCTCATTTGTCTATATTCCGCTAATATCTCTACTTCTTTTTCAATTTTAGCGTGCTTTTCTTCTTGAATACGATTTATCAATTCTTTCATACTTTCTTGACACGTTTTCAAAATTTTTGCTGTTGTGCCCATTTGCCTCTTGTTTCTGCATTTCTTCAATAGAAAGTGTGTTTTGCAGATTAGACTGATTATACATAGTTGGTGTTGTTGCTATTGATTCTTGGTTGGTTGTTCCCGATTCAAATACTGAAAAATCTTGACTGGTTGATGCGTTACTTTCTGTCGGTATATTTTCTGTTTCAAATACACCAGTAGTGAACCTATAATGACATTATATAATTAGTATTAAATACATTAAACAATTTGTGTAAACGATATTATTTATGTATAAACAAATATCTTCCATATATGTGTTCTTTAACCATTAACTAAACTTTAGTAATTATTATGTGAAAGATTATATACCTAATATTATCTAATATAAGAAATAATAATACACAAATTATTAAAACAACTTAATAAAACTTACGTAGGTATAGTTCTGTCAGTTCTCAGTATTGTGCCTTTATTTCCAGATACAATTAGAGGTTCAATATTATGTTTACTCCCAATTAAATCTGTCAATTCTCTATAATAATGCATTTTATATTATAAAAAACATTTTCCTACTACAAGTTTTTTAAGATAGATATTTGAAAAAATTTAAAGCAAGAAATCTTAGTGCATGAGTATATATAAATGTATTATATTATTATGTATATACATTATATTAATTCTTCAATTAAAATATAATAACTTACGTTTCATATGCACATGTTGCTCGACCTCTGCCAGTTTTTTTATTATTTGTGATCATATTTTTATAAGCTTTTTCTAATGATTTAAATTTATTTTCAGTTTGTATATTTGATACATTATAGCCTTGAATATTCATTTCTTCTGCGATTTTTTCCATAATGCTTTTTTGTTTCTAATTTTTCTTGTCGTAAGTAAATGTATTTTTTCTTTATACAAACATAAAAATAATTTTGTGCTTGCATCTGACCATGAAAATGTTTCTTCTATATTATCTGAGTTTACTGGTATTCTATTTTCCATGTAGTTGTCTTGTTGATTTTCTTTATTGATTTCATTATTATTATTATTATCATTTAACGGAATGAATATTGACTTGTTGTTTAATGTTAAATTTATGGAGTCACAGTTAAAATTGATCTCTGAATAACCAATTTGAAATTTCAGCCCTCCTAAAAAAATTTTATATAAATTTTAATTTTTGTTGATTTCTTAATTACTTTCATATTTTATATGATAGATAATTTGACTTACCTTCAGAAATGCAAGTAATTAATCTATTTTCATCAATTAAAATATTTCCTGCTGCATCTCTTTGTATAATTGCTGTTTCACTTTCCATGACTTTGCTTTCAGCTGATCTATTAGTTATAAAAATTCTTTTATATTCTGTATAATGTAAATAATTCATAATGTTTTGATTATAAATACAATTTTATGTAATAAATACACTAGTTTAATATTTAATAGGTTATTTTATATATATATTTTATAAATTAAACTTCGGCTCGTATACAATTAAAATATGTGATATAATAAAAGGCCAACCTAACGAGCTTATAAGATATTAATTCAAAAATTTTTATTATTAATTTACGTCATAATATACAAAAGATAAGATAAACGTTTCGACTGTACGACAGTCTTTTTCAATATCATGCTAATATGTCAAAAAATTAATTTAGTCATATCGACCTTATTATAAATACAACATTTATGAGATTATCATATGATGAACGCAGTACAAAATTCATGTTTGTTGGCTTGAGTTAGAGCGTCAGATTTCTGTATGTCATGCTGTTATATTACGTGACGACACTGTGAACCAATTAATATATCCGCTCAAATATTACATTTTAGATTTTTAATAAATAGTATTAACTTACTTTTTTGTCACGAACATAACACTTTTTTAAAAATTATTTCTTTTCGAATAACATAATCACAATGTGTACTATGTGTAATATGTTTTACTATCGCTACGTCGATGATATCTTGGTTTGCTTGCCGGAAGATCAAGTCACATATTTAGTAGAAAAATTTAATGATTGTCACGATAGATTAAAATTCACAATAGAAAGAGAGGATAACCGTAGCATAAGTTTTTTAGATATCTCACTCAAAATTATAAATAACATAATATATATAGATTGGTTTCAGAAAAAAACATTTTCGGGTAGAACACTCTCATATCATTCAAATCATCCTATATGCCACAAAAAAAGTGTAATATAAGTAGTATAGTGGGCACTATGGCCCGTCAAAACAAACCCCCACCACCGACCCGTCTGGCGCCGAGTCTTATCTTATCTTTCCCCCACCACCGGCGTCTGGTTTTTCCGAGTGTGGGTGTAGGGGGAGAGGGTGTTGGGAAAAAAAAATGGCGACAGGCCCCGAAAGGTGGGGATGAGAATTTTTTTTATTTTTTTTTATTTTTTCTAATTTCCTCTGGATTTGAACCTGGGGCCTTCGTGTTTCCGAGCAGGGTCCTAGTATGTTGAGCTAAACGAGATCTTACTAGTCTAAGGATTAGATGAGGTATTTAAGCTAAAGTTGCGTAGGGTACGGTATGGGGGTACGGGTATACGTATGGCAAGGATAGCTCGTTGAATCAAATGGTCGATATTGGACGGGGTGGGGTAAAAACAGTTAGGGTATACGTATGGCAAGGATAGTTCGTCGAATCAAATGGTCGATATTAGACGGGGTGGGGTAAAAACATTTTGACCAAGAAAAGCGTCATGCGGTCGACCGGGGATCGGTGGCAGGTAGTAACTGACAATGCCGTAGGGTAATAAAAAAGAACACGCAAATATTTGTACTGGCGAGCATTCCGACTCGTGTCACGATAAAAAAAATAATGCATCATCGTAGATTAGAAAGAATGCTTATTGTTGAAAAGATGTCGGATAAAATTTTATTTTAAAATAACTCGCTGCTTAATGAAGGTAAACAGAAACATGGATGTTGAGGAAATTTCTGGAAAGAGGAAGTGAAAGAAAATTGAACAATGGTTTTAAAAGTACAAATATGATTTATATTTAAAATATTTTTACAGAATAAAATTATTCACAAACATTTCAAGAAAATATTCGTCGAATAATTATTAAAATTTACGTTTTGATATAATTGTATGTACAATTTGTTCGAAATAAAGTGAAATTATTTCTAAAAATGTTATCTCAAAGTATACATCGAGAAATGTTAAATCTTTCAGTTGGGTACGTACATTACGTTCTATTTCCTTACTGTTACCTCTGATCGTGAGTTTCACGATACTGTTATTAATGCTACCGTTGACAGGAAGATTTAACTGTATTTCGTTAATTAAATATCGAGCACATTCGTTGACATTAGTTGAAATAAAATTTAGACGATTTAAATTAGCGTTCACACAATCAACTATATTTTCTACACCTTGAAAAGTCGTTCTCTGCATGACTATCGCAATGTTGTAAGTTTTACGTTTCTTCGCCTTCGGTCCGTTTTCGTTCGTATCCTCCACAGTCTCGGAAGAAAGATCTTCTTGCTCGTTTTCACGATATTTTATTAGTATGGCTCTAGCACCATATGCGGTAGTGAAATTTACAATTATCTTGTTAAAGATGATCGAGCTCAAATTAATTTTATCACCGTTTAAGTAGCTCGACATCGTTTTCATGTTTTCTTGAAATTTTTGCCACGATTCCATGTCGAAGCAAATCCCTACAGCTCCGTGAGATGTTAATTTAACAACAGGCAGAAAATCCAGTTCGACGTTGTCTTCCGTCATAAGACCCACTTGAATTTTCTTCGTGTAGGATGAATTCAATCCGTATGTTGTTGACAGCAACATACGTGGTTGTTGCTCGATTTTCTTAAGATTGTTCATGGTAGTTGCTACCGCGTAGAAAATCAAAGATATAATAATCAAAGACACGGAAAAATCGAAAAATCGAGAACTTTTTACTAACAAACTTTTTTACTAACGAACTTGAAAGTCCGGACGATGAAAGACGAGTGAGCGAAGATTTTCAAGAAAATTTATAAGAAGGAAGATAAAATAGAAAAGTGGTAGGGAGAAAATGTATGCGTAGATAAATAAAAATTATGAGGAAGGGATTTTTTAAACAATATAAATAATATAATTTTTAATGTGGAAGGGGAATTTTTTAAACAATAAAGCGATAGGGAGAAAATGCATGCGTAGTATAATAAAAATTATGTGGGAGGGGAATTTTTTAAACAATATAAACGATATAATTATTAATGTGGAAGGGAAATTTTTTAAACAATATAAATGATATAATTTTAAA